GTAGTCGATGCTGCTTAACAATTGTTACAATTGCCATACGGCTGTTAAATTGTTATGTGTCAGCCACTGATGCCGTCGTCGTCGTTTTTGTCTCTTTCTGCCAGTGAATGGGATACATTGGATGAACGGGCGCGGAACAGAAAAAACAAAAATCAGCACCGCAAATATATTTATATCGATAAAAATCAGGCAAAGAAATTCAAGTCGACAATAAATCGTTTGTTACTCTTATTTACATACATTCACGTAGTAGCGAAAGAGAGACTTTTACTCAATATATATCGTTATTGTTGTTGCATTAAATCAAGCTTTGGCAAATACATTTTGCGCCAAAAAAAACACGAGCAGAATGAAAAAAAACAACACACGAATGCAGAACAATCGCATACGAATTGGCTTTTACTTACCTTACCCATGAAAATCTTTCGTTGCCATTGTTAAAATTCGTGCACGATCTTACATTGATTTTATGCAGCGATATATTCCCATTTGCATACACACTTTGTTCGAATTTCTTTTCGGTTTTGTTTTTTTCTGCTTCTTTCCAGTTTCCATTTCGTGTTTTACGTCGTGTGGCTCATTTTTGACATGTGTGCTACTAATCATTTGAATATTTTGGCGGTGTTCGACAGTGTGCACACGATGTGAGTGGAATGAGAGATTTTATTTACACATATTTTGGGTTAAGTTGTAAATATTTGTGGTGACAAATGTTTGCTGCGCGCTCCAAAGACCCAGTTCACGTAGTGGCCAGAAAATGCGCAACGACAAAAAAAATGCTCATCCACTTGATTTTTTTGTGCTTCCACTGCGTCTAAACGGCCACATACAGTCGGTTTAAGGCGAAAAAAACCAAAACAATTGGATAGAAAAAAAACAACCATCCGGTCGTTTAATCAACGCAAATTGCCATGCGTTTTTCTATAAATGCCGATTAGCGCCGCCGTCGTCATCGCCACATCTCTCGACGTCCCCTTATTTAATGTGTTTCAAACAACACTCCATTCTAATGAGTTCCAGTCATTTCTCAAAAGTCCTTGAATTCAATCCACTTCGGAGACACTTTTTCTATGCACGCCTCAAATGCAGTTAGAAAAACATGGCATGCCATTATAGGCGCGGAACGAAAGTAGACAACAAGAGAAAAAAACACCCAATGAAAATGGTCACATTTCGGTTTTGGTTGATTAAAAATTATTATTATGTGTGTACTTGACACAAAATCTTATGCGCATTTTGTCACCCGAAATAGATTGCGTGCCCTTGTTTCGTTAACATGTACTGCAGTACTGAAATTCGACAGCGTGGCTTCCATTAGGTTTATTAAAAGAAAAAACAGCGAAAAAAAATGATTGAACTAATTCCGAATTAACATTCCAAAGAAGCTACTGTTCATTCTATGATAAGGGAATTATGAATGACATCATTCGGGTTTGGCTATGGTTGTGTGTATGTGTGCTATTTATTGTCGACACAAAGTAGCTGCCGCCACCGCCACAGTTGCCTTGAGCAGAAAGAAGACGAGTCAGAGTTGGCGGAGAGTGATAAGGAGCGTATGATTATTGAATAAATAGTTTTTACGTGCGGCGAGCGTGTGTATTTTGAATCAGCATTCAGCACGCCAAGTTCATTTTTTCTGGGTTTGGTCAATTAGCGCTTGTTTACTGAATGTCATACGTTCTTTTTGCTTGCCTATACAGCAATTTCTAACGGTTATAACGGTCGTTCTGTGGCTGGCCTATACACATATTGATGGAAACTTGTTTTTTTTACCAACCGACTTGACTAAGCAATTCTGATTTACACTTTTTGATCAATCAATCATTTTGCGCAAAAAAAGCGAAATGTTTGAAATTGACAAATGATTTGTGTTGTTCGCGTTTCTACATCAAATTAACCACCATTCACGCAAGTTGATTGACTTGATGTGGCTAAGCAAACCAAACTGCGAAAGTCGATTGGAATAAAATGGAAGGCATTCATTGCAAAGAATGTTTACTTTATACCAATCGTCTTCGTCGCCTGCCATTTTTTATGAGGCACAAGCGACAGGTTTTCAGACGCAAAATCGATTTCGATGCACGTAGGTGTGAACTATGGTTGCTAACATCGTCGAATCGAAGCATATAATATGTGTACGCAGTAAAAAACACAGCTCGCAGCCACTCTCTGGCTGAAATAAATTAAACGCAAAACGAGTTTCAATTAAAATTAAAAGAAGAGAAGCGAAAAAAAACACACAGCGAACTCCGGTGCGTTCAAAACACAGAGAGCCTCTCTCGTTGGATGTGTCTGTCTTGGTCGGTTTTTCGTCCCGTTCATCGCACTCCTAATGGAATAATGGTATTATTTATAAGCTAAACCGGGACCGTACACCGATAATAATTTAAAATCATCGACACTTCCACAATTTGTCAACAGAGCATAAAATTGTGATCGGGCCCAAGAGTGTCGTCGTCGTCAACGCAATATGGTGGCCATATTTTAGATTTTATTCAAATAATTCAACATATTCCACAGCGTGTGGCTCGCATTAATCGCAATAGAATGCCAGAATCAATGTAGGTGTTCAGTTTCAAGTTATTTATTCGTTTAGAATTTTGTTGCTGCTTACATTCTGTATGGTCATGTGTCGATTGTCATTGTCACTCTCAATTGAACACCATTTATGGATGTTGAATTCGGAGAGAGAGGCACAAAAATAGCAACAACAACAACGAGTTATTCTAATAAATCGGTTGCGAGACGAAAATTAAGCGAAACGCGTTTTATCTCTCGCGTTGAATCTTGAGATGTTTGTCTTTTTTTCGCTGAAGGGAGTCGAGAGAGAGAGAGAGAGAGAGAGAGAGAAAAAAAGACTTATTAAAATTGAATTAATTCCGTATTAAAAGTGATTATTTTGCTTTTAACCATGAAATTGTTTTGAGGCACCTGATAAAATATATGTGACGCGTTTCGTTCCATTAACAGAGTGTTGTGTGTGTGTGCGGTGTATGCAGTGAGTGCGAATGGGCGATAAATTAATGCAATGTCAAAAATATTTATGGCGACCGTCTTTTGCCATTGCACACAATTTGATCTGAAGCGACTTGAACGCGCGCGCGCCCTTTCGCTGAGATCCAATGGCGAAAATTGCACGAGCGAACGAATAAATAAGAGTGAGTGAGTGCGATGTACGAAGATATAGATGGGTGTCGCATGCTTGGCTGATGCTGAAATCTGTAAATTTACGATACACAATGCGCTCGCTCTCAGCCGACGTGCACTCAATTAATCTATTTATTACGTATATGCATTTACATGTTCCAACGGAAACTGAAAATCGCAAAAGAAATTCCGTGTGGAACGAACTGAATAAATGATATATGTGTATTCAAATGATTACCGGTTCCACATAATGATTCGAACAAAATGAACAAAAAAAAGAATGAACAACAAAGAAAAAAAACAACGCAAATAGAAAGAAAAAGAAACAAGATATGGAGAAGAAGATAAAAAGCATGTAAACAGGCGGTGATGTTAATTTTGTCCATTTAATTGGCAATGGGGTATACCAGACGCGCGATTTGTTATTGGATTTTGTTTTCTATTCTTCGTTCGGTCAATTGTGGAATACAAATTGGTCGCAATTGGGCTCACTATCGGTATGCATGTCAAACCTATCAAAATCAACACCATCGAAAATTGGACGCCAAAATTGATTATAAACGCCGTACGGCACATTTTACGATATAATTTTTCTTTTTTGCAAAGCAATAAATTCTGGGCGAATCGACAAAACGGCGGCCAATGCGTACGCAGCGGCTTAAAGGGTCGTGTTTTTTTTCTGATTCCAATATTTCGACTACATTTTTTTTTTTTTGTATCATGCATACCGATTTTTATGAGACAATCAAGCTCGAATGGACAACAAATTACTGCAACGGGTGAATCTGAGAACTGAATGCATATTTTCAGAGTGGGTCATGCGTGCATGCACAAACGAACGCTTGTTATAACACACAAGACAAGTAATAAAATAATTACTTTGTTTACTACATTAAGATTTATGGGTTTTTCATGACTTCGTATGAAGTTTGAGTGTGAGTGTGTGAATGTGTGTGCACAAATTTTCGAAGAAATAAATCGCGGCTGTGCATGCCAGGAACATCAAGCGCGCACACACAATCACAATATGTTTGTTATTTTTTCATCATCGTAACATGCAATGCGCGCGCGATATATGTGACATAAAGACAAAGGAAGATGCATTTGAATTTGTGTGTCAGATTAATCAAAGCGAATCATCAATTCAATAGATTTATGGCAGTTTTTGATGCCGAGTCACTCCGGTCGTTCATGGAACAGCTTCTGAAATGGGAACAAGAGTCACATGAAATGAATTAATTAAATACAGAAATTATCTAATTCAATGCTCGACGTTAGTTTGATTCTTTAATTGTTTAATTGACGCGAGCGCAAAGTATATTCTAGAACCAAAACACCAACTACACGGACAAAATGTCCAAAGATAAACAAGAGATTCAATTTATATCAATTCTGTCGCCGTTTGCAAAAAAAATTCTTTATTGTTTGCGACACTGCTTTTATTATCGTATGTCACAATCACACACCAATTTATTGAACATACAGAAAAAACGCCGAAGAATAAATAAAAACAAACTTTTTGTTGATATCAAACACTACCATTACTTTTGCTTTTTTCGATCGTTTGTGAGTTTCGACACACTTCTCCAATTCTCCACTTCACACGCATTCGGGTTAGATCAACACCGCAAAACCGTGTCTTTTTGAACCATTGACTGTGTTTCCTATTCGCAAAATCGATAAATTTCATACATTATTATGAATATGTTTTGCATCTGAGTAAACAGTAGTTTGCGAGTAGTTTCTGTTCGTTCGATATATTCGCTTACGTCTGTTCGTTTTTCTCTTGTTTTGTCTGCTATTTTTATCGATTTTAATCTTTTTTTCTCTGTTTTTTTTATCTCGTCATGCAGGAATATTGTCGCTTTCCAAAATTGGAGGAATGCGCACATTTCCACTACGAACGTGTTCAACTGGGCAAAATCACGGTAAAATTAATCGAAGACAAATTCGATCCGCACAATAGCAATTTGATACAAACCGATGCCAATACATCGGGTTCATCGACCACATCACAGCAATTGTGGTTCATTATTCGGGTGACGGCCGAAAAATCCGAACCATTCTTAATACGGCGCTCATTTGAGAATATGAAAATGTTGGACGAAATGCTGCATCGATGTGTGTACGATCGTAAAATTAGCAATTTAGCGGATTTAAGCGATTTAGAGCTGGACGCAGATGATATACAAATGGATAGCGTGGTAGCCGAATATTTGGAGCGATTTTCAGCGATCGTTTCGGATTCGCTGACATGTGGCCAGATTTTGAGCTGGTTTCAACTCGACAATAAAGGTCAACGTCTTCCTTTGGCCGATTCAGATACGATGAAAAGCATCAACACTCCTGCGGTCGGCGCAGCCTATGGAATTCGCAAGTAAGTTTACATCAATTGGCTTTGATGGGAACGAACATTCCCATTTGCAATTAAATTCGAATTCGAATGCATTTTCATTACAAATCGACTGCTTTTCCCTCCCTTTGTGACAGGTATAATGCACAGGCATGCGATGAAATTTCGATTGAAGTCGGCGATATGATATCAGTGATCGATATGCCGAGCCCAGCGGAGAGTGTATGGTGGCGCGGTAAAAAGAGTCACTTGCAGAAGAGCCAATACGAGGTTGGATTTTTCCCGCAAAGCTGTGTGGCGACAATCGGAGACAAAATTCCGCGCCACTTGGTGCTGCCGGCTCCGTTGGTCGGCTCATTGGACGTTTCACCAACGAAACCTGTTCTACGCAAACATGGCAAATTGATTGCATTTTTCCGTAGCTTTATTCTGTCACGGCCATCGAGACGATGCCTCAAACAGAGCGGCATTTACAAGGAGCGTGTTTTTTCGTGCGATTTAAGTGAACATTTATTGAACAGTGGACAAGAGATACCGATGGTACTCAAAGCTTGTTCACAATATATCGAGGAATTCGGTATCGTCGACGGCATCTACCGATTGTCGGGCATTACGTCAAATATTCAAAAACTTCGTAGCGGTTTCGATGAAGAACGCGTGCCCGACTTGGTCAATCCAGAAGTACGTCAAGACATACACGCAATGAGCTCGTTAGTTAAAATGTACTTCCGGTGAGTGAGTTGGAGAGAGTGAATACATAAGAAATAAAAGCACACACAAAGCGCATTGTTTTCCGGACACTTTAAAACATTTTATTTACAACAAACACTTAATTATTTTGAAACATTGATTCAATCATCTTCATCATTATCATCACATACAATGCTTAAGCAATACATTTTAATTTAATATAATAATAATAATTTATATATTATATTTATAATAATTTCAGAGAACTGCCAAATCCATTGTGCACATATCAATTGTACGAACAGTTTGTCGAAGCCATTCAAAATCGCGGCGAACCCGAAGAACGGCTTAAGGCGATGAAAGAAACGGTACAAAAACTACCTCCACCACATTACAGGTACGAATGGAGAGGAAAAAAATCTACTCCATGCTTAATGAATTCTTTTGAATAATAATTCTTTGTGCCCGTTGGTTATGTGTGAACTTTTAACTTTCAGAACGTTGAAATACTTGATGACGCATTTGAATAAAATCGCACAACACTCGGCACGAACGGGAATGACCGATCGAAATTTGGCAATTGTTTGGGCACCAAATCTACTGCGAAGCCCATCATTGGAGGCTGGCGGTGTGGCTGCATTGAGAGGTGTCGGTGTTCAAGCTGTTGTCACTGGTAAGATACGTTTTGTTCTGTCTTGATCATGGAATAATTGATCAATAATCGATTATTTTTCTTCATTCCGAATCTTTTCATTGAAAACGACTCCTCTCCTTTTCTCCACAGAATATCTCATTACAAATTGTCACAAAATATTCGATGAAAATTTTGAGAGTACCCTCGATACAAGCATGTGTGAAGCGATTGAAGAAGCCGAGGAGGCACAAGCTGATTCCCTACAGGATTTAACGGTGCCAATTTGTATCGAGCGACCAAAGAGCCTTGGCGTTAGTGGCGGTGCACGTTTGATTAGCCTTGAAGAAGCACAAAATCGTCACAATCGAATCGAATTCATCGATTTAAACAAAATGAATCCAATGAACACGCCTGGTGGTTCAAGTACATACATCGAAGTTGGTGGCGGTCCATCGAGTTTGCCCGATAAATACCACACTGTTCTTCCAGTGCCGCGAAGTTGGCAAAAGCGTAAAACACACTCATGGAAATCGTTGTTTACTCGGGGCCAACGTAATCCCAATACCAATGAGCTAAAAATTAATCCTTCAACTCCAACCATTGCCAAAGAAGCTCACAGAAACAGTGTGCCAAGCCCAGTGAAGAGTGAGGCTGACCAACTCAAACAAATTACACGAAGTAGTCAGAAGAAAGTCACTAAAAGCATTGATTTTAGTGAAGGCAAACCGATGGAAATATGCGCTAGATCCACTTCAGCCGATAGCTTGCGAACAAGTGGACATAGTCGATCTGTGTCACATGATTCGTACTTTGATTTACTTCAGTCGCCATTGAGAGCTGTTGCCATTTCGCCGTCACGCGAATTTTCGGAATTGGGCTTGAACTTCGATCGCGAAGAACCTGAAATGCGAATATTTTCGGAGAGCGAAAGTTTGGTCAGCAGCCCAAGAGTGCCGAGAGAAGTGAGTACATGAATACCGATCTAATTAAAATGAATTATTTTTTTCCTTAATTTTTTCACTGACTGTTCCATAATGTTTCAGATGCAATCGCGTCGTGTGACACGCTGTCGAACCGACGATTCGAGCGCTGTGAACAGCGTAAATCCTAGCCCAAAGAAGCAACCGCGTCTCAATTTGCCCAGTACAAAAGAGAATCAGTGGAGTGCAAACAATCGAAACCAAACGGATGACGGAAGCTTGAGGAAACGGTCTAAAGTTGAAGAACGACGTGAATACAACATTGAAGATCGTCAATCACTTTCCGACATTCAATTCATTGATAGCATAACGCCCGAGCATACGATCACTACGAATACAATTTATGCATGTGTACAAGTTCATAATCCACCATCATCCAATCGAACATCAATACTCGAAGAAACACCAACTGGTGAACGGCCGCAGCTCAGAGCCAGCGCCTTAGACAATAAAATCAACGATAAAGTTGAGAATAAAGAGAGTCGATTCAGTTATCCTGGGATGGGAGAGAAGTTCTCGGATGACAAACGTTTTTTGAACCGATTTTCGATGAGCGACAATAACGAAAAGTGTCGACGCAGTTTCAGTGAATTGAAAAATACAAGCTGTTGCAGCGCTGGGCTTGTGCTATCCAGCAGCTCGCCGGATCATTTGAAGAACACTGAGAATGATCATTCAAAAGCAAGCATAGCGACACCGTCGAGCCCAAGTAAAAGCCCGAAATATTCACTGTTGGGCGAAACAAGCTCGGAGAATAGCAGCACATTGAACACGCCCGCTTTTGATATGGATATGTCATCAGCAACACAGCAATTTGATCAACGCATGAGTGAACTTAAGGGATTGAGTGGCAATGCCGAGTCAAAAAATTTGAGCCTACCCATGGCTACTGAAGATGGCGAACAAAATGTGAGTTAATGAACATTTTTGTACTTTTTGCCATTTTTTAACAAAATTTTAATTTTTCTTCTTTCTTTTCCCACAGTCTAACCAAAATCAAATGCCAACTAACGCTAATCCAATTGACATTCGACGCGATTTGTCGTTGGATTTGGAGAAATCGAAAATGTCAATCGACGAGGCATCACCGCCGTCGAATAAGCAAAATGTAAATATGTCATCAGCATCAAATACTCCAAACTTTACACAAACATCGGGTAGCACCAGTCAATCGATGACACCAAGTGAATTTGGCTATCAAAATTTGAATCGGCTATCGAATGCGGTTTCGATTGATAGTTCGCCCAAGTCAGATGTGTATGAAACGCACGACCAAGCGTTCGCCAACTATGAGCAAGTGACAACACCCGTGCAATCGCTACCCCCGATCAAAGCAAAGAGTCCAATCAAAGCCACAATTAACATCACATACAAATCACCGGTGCGTAATACACCGTCTACGAATTTCGTGTATCCATCAAGCGAACAAAGGCCTATTTCACCCGATCCAAATCAATTCCCCGACTATGAGCCGGTGGATGTAATTTCAATGGTGACCAAGCCATTGGAAACGAGTTTCGATGACAACGGTGTTTACGAGCAGTTGAAATTCTTCAAAGGTGCTGTTTCCGAAGTTAATCACTTGCTTAACAACGGTAACGACGTTCAGCAGGGCGCAAATAATAAATTCAACGATAATTTGAATACTCCACAAGTTGTTCCTACAATAGAAAGTGCCACAGTGGCTGCGACGGCCACAGTCAATGAGCAAATTCCCAGTGAAACCACTGCCGATGATAGAAGTGATTCGGGCGATGTGTTGATGCCAGAGCAAGAATTGACTCAGGACAGTTTGGAATATGATGCCAATCTGTCGATGTATGAAAATGTGAATTTGAGAAAATCACCAAATGCCTATGAAAATGTACGATTGCGTTTGGATGGCAAAACCAAATCGTTGAACATTCAAGACATCCATCCGACACTGTCGCTGGGCAAAGAGAATAGTAAGCCGGCAAATTTCACCGTTAAACAATTGGCAAACAAATTCGAAACGAGCCCGATTGATGCACAGCCTCCGTTTGATTTTTCCAAACCGTTTGCCCGCAAAAACTGTGATACAAATCGAAATTCAGCGAATCCACCAAAGGCGAAAAATCCACAACAGCAACAACTAAACCGAACGAATAATTTCACTCGGAGCCTGGATGAAAATGCGTTTGTGCGTGAGTTTGGTAGCAGTCGATCGAATGAAAAGGTCAACCGAAGCACACAACAAATTCCAATCGTAACGAATATTCTGACGGAAAACAGCCCGATCAGACGTTCGATGAACAATGATGCAACAAAGCCGAAAATTCTAAATCCACCAAAACGATTGCCAAGCCTCACGGATGCGGAGAATAAGGTGTGCAAAAAGGAGAATGTTGATGAATCAATGGCAAATTGTGATATTAAAATCACACCGACTAACGAGAATCCGATTTCATTGATACAGCACAATGTGAATTCAGATCAAAGATTGGCCGGCGATGATGATCGCAATGCGACAAATATTAGCAACAAAGTTCTTAGCAGTTTCAAACTTGACCGTGAACGCATCGAACGCATAAAAGAAGAGCGACGGCATCAATTGAACGAGAAATTCCGTTCGGAATCATTTAAATGTGAAAAAGAAAATAACAAAGCCAAATCAAAGTCAAAAATCGAATTGAATGAGCTGAAAGATGCTGATAAGAAAATCTCCGACTCACTGCAGTACAAATCAAAGTCACGAAATGAAATTTATAATAAAAAAGATGCGGACTCATCGCTGGTGGTTATGCAATCGTTGAGCGGCGCCAACGATGGGTCATCGGGTCGTGTGCGAAGCATTAGCGATGAAAAAAATCAAAACAATTGCACTAATACGACCAACGTAGATGAACAAAGTGTTGCATTTCGGTCGAGGAAATTCGATCGGCGATCGATTGATCTGAAACGGGAACAGGAATTTAATACGGCACTCAATGGCACGGTTCGAACGTCAGTACATTTACAGTAAGTTCGATCTTTATTCCAAAAAAACCTGAAATGATTTTTTTCTGATTTTTTCAGTTGACGTTTTTTACATTTGCAAAGATCAAATGAAGACTGAATGCAATTAATGAACTTTTTTTTTTCCAGACGAGAGCCAGTGTCGCCGCAGATATCAATACGTGATGTAGCTGCTTTATTTGAGTCCCGATCGCAGAATCATTGAAAATAATCAAAACAACGGTGCGAAACATCACAATACAGATGGCAACCCATTCGTACCGAACAACATCTTTAAGAAATCAATCAAAACATCCCCCACAATTCTCTTTCTTATATACATATGAATGAAAATAACAAAATATTTGATGTATTTTTTCATATTGCTTTTCTATAACGCATTGTTCGATACAAAAAAAAATATTAGCATGATATTCGATAGATACATGTATGCAAGTAAATTATTACACACCGATTATAATGCAACAAAAAACATATTTATTTAAAAACAAACATTCTTCCAATTGCGATTGGAATAAGCAAACGAATAATGAGCAAAACAGAAGAAATTCGAGTGTATATTGAATGAAAAAGTTTTTTTTTATAAATTATAAGGAAAATGGCAAGGAAAATATGCAAAATTACTCTTGTGTTATTCGAATTAGATGATTGTAGTTTTTAAGTGGTTCTAAGTTGGTTTGGGACGTTTTACAAAGTCACAATTGCGAAAACCGACCGAAAGAGATGATTCTCTGAAGAGAGAGAAAAAAATTGATGCAGACAAAAAGAAGTTATTTTGATTTTCACCTGTTTACGTTATTCTTTGTTTAGCAATTTGACCGTCAAGAATTCAAAATTCATCTTTAAAATTTCGGTTTAATAGATTTTACGTTTCAATTACACACGTTTCGTATGCGATTTTACCTGTGTTCAAGTTAGTTTAATAATCCTCATTGAAAGACAATCGAAGAACAAAATTCACACATACATTTCGTGAATCCAACACTTTTTTTTCCACGAAATATCCATCAATCTTCGTTTGTTGAATTTTTTCGTTAAATATCACAATGCATCGATTGCATCTATTAAATAATTTTCTGTTTAATACCATGAATTAAGCCGCTTTTTGTTATGTTATTCATTATACCCCATATATGGCAATCAATTCACAAGATTTTTTGTTTGAAAAATTATTTTTCAATTTTATTGTAATCATTTTTTTTTTATAAAAGACTAAACAAAATAAATTTTAAGATTTATTGCAGTTTCTTTTTTAATTTCATAGATTTAAACGTTCTTTTTTATTTTTGTATAATTTAAATCATTCCAGATTAAAATATGAGATTAAAAAAAATTCTGTGCTTTTGTTTTTTTTTTCATTTAATTTCCCCAATTTTTCTAATTCAAGATAATGATCATTATTTAAAATCTCATTATTGATGGCTCCAAAGAATTCGGTTTTGGTAAGTGGATCAAAAGGGCCTTTCTACTAGAACCCTTTAGATTATAACTTGTGAACCAAATTGATACGACGAGTTTAACTTTTTACGAGTATTCGGTTGTGGTATGAAAAGGCACCAGGATGAATAATTTGCCAATTATTACAATTGACCAGAAAGAATAAAAACCTGGAAGTGATGAACAGTTATGAGGCAAAAATGTGCATTTTATTTCATCAGTCCAATTGAAGTAGAAGGTTTCATCTCAATAACAGCAAAATTTACATGAATCAAAAATAATTTTTTATTTTATTTTCTTTTTTTCACATTGGAATTTTTATTCAAACCAATATTGTAATTCTATCAAAAATTTGAACAATTGAGGCACTATAAATTGCAAAAAAAAGAATTGCTTGGCGACCGCTTTAAATATTTCTAATCTAACCGAACGAGTGGAATGAGATAAGAATTTAGTTAGATAATATTTATAACAATAAAATTTTTCCATAAGATTTAAGTGTGATTTAATGTACTCGTAAAGAAATCCTCACACAGAGAATGCATTTTTATCGAATGTTTAGTGTAAAATTGAGTGAGCTAACTAGATAGCTGGGCTGTAGCATATATTAAGTAATATCTTTTGCTAGCTTCGATAATCTCATTGATGAGCAGGAATTGTAACAGTAGATACATACACACACACACATATATATATATAAACAATAGCAATTTGAACGACTGAAAAGACTTTCAAAAGAAATGGGTACTCTTGAGACTTCAATCAGAGCCTAACAATAAACTTCATAATGAAAAAATAATATTCAAATTGAACAACAATAATAAGCCGAACCGTAGTCTAGGGGAATATCACGCAAAAAATTCTATTGAATTTCTATTGATTTTTGCATTTTTTAAAATTAATTTCAATTATATTACATTATGCGAGATATCTGAGATTTTTTTCATTTTAGTCGATTTTTGCAGATATTTTAATGCTGGAAGTGGGTTTTGGCGGATCCTCAGGATCGTTCAGAACTGCTCCCGATTCTGGAAGTGGGTTTTGGTGGATCTTCAGGATGGACCAGACTGGGTTTGACAATGCCCTGGCCCATCCTGAGGATCCACCAAAACCCACTTCCAGCATTTTTGAAGCGGTAATGACGTCAGCACATGGTGAATATGAGTGAATAATACAGATTTTGCGAAATATTTGAAATAGCTTAGATTTCATTAGATTTTAATGAATTAAATGAGATAGAAATAAGTTTTGCGAATAAAAATTGCGTGATATTCCCCTAGACCGTAGTCTTTGAAACTTTTTGATCATTTTTCAGTTTTCCATGGAGTTCCTTTCTAAGCTTAAAATTCAGTAGAACTGTTTGACCATCAATTCTTCAAATTATATTATAAAAATAAAATTTACACTGAATAAAAGCATTCGAAAACTAAACGCCACTCATTTTTTCTTCGTTTAGTTTTAAAATAAATATTTTAAACAGTGCAAATCCCCGGTCCGCGCCACCATCTGTTGATATCTTTGTACCAATGTTTGCTGGATATGGCATGGTCATCATGTAACATAGCGCATACTTGACACCAGAATCTCGCCGCCATGAGGCTAAGAAATTCACCGGTTCCCTTCCATTTGAAATAGAAATTGTATAAATCGTCATTTTGATCTAGAACGTGCAAGTATTCGGCCAATTCTTTCGGAGACATGAAATGATCGACATGAATGTACGATCGAAGAGGTGTGTATTTTTCATAGTTTTCAGGTGGTGGACCCATCACAATCGGTACGACATTATGGTTTAAACTGTTCCGAAACAGTTTTTCAGTGATGTAATCTTTGCAGTTTGAGTTTTCGAAAGCAAGATAAAATTTATAGTCTTTATCAAGCATTTCATAGCATTTTTTCTCCTCCGAATGCGGACAAGTCATAGATACACTCACCGTAAATATCAACCTATTTGCAATGAAAATTATTTTGTTTAATTGTTTACGTTTATAATACTTTGCACACAGATTATTCCTTACCTGAATGTACTTTTGTAATTCTTCTGCATATTTATAGCGATTATTTTTTGCTTTACAATTCGACACAAAACATGCGACTTTTTTGCTCTTATTCGATGCATAATTTTGATGCTGTCTCTGTTGTTTTACTGTAGAATCGTAATAAACCCATTTACCGTACGGTGTAACAATCGTACTGTCTTGCCTACAATTCGACACAACATATCAAAGTTAACTACGGTTTTGTGGAAAATAACTTTAAGATCATCACCTGTAGGTTATAGTCCAGTTGAAAACATCTAAATGTTAGAAAAGATAATGATTGCAGACACTTTTTAAACTAGCGATTATTCAACTTAACTTGAAAAAAAATTCATTTACCTGGATACTCGAATGGTTCTGTGTGAAGGGGACTTTCTTTGTGATGAATTGCGTAGATTTGATTTGGTGACCTTACACCATTTGTGTGTACATAACGATCGTTGAATAAAATCATATCGACAGTTCCTCTCTCATTTGTATTCAATGTTATTTTGCACGTATCAACGGGGCAATTATTCTTGAATACATCCTTGGTAACATTCAGTTTCCACCAATCGGCTGCGTTATATACCAAAATCGTTTTTATTTTTCCCGATTTTTTAATTGCATCATAATTCGGTGGTACAAACATTAATTGATTCAATATGCGATCGTTTCCGATGTCTTCGTATGGCAGCAATTTTGGAACACGTATGCCAGTTATATTAGAAATAGCTGCAGGCTGTGGATATCGTTTGCCATTGATTAAATACCATGGTTTGTTGGCATTTGAGCAGTCTTCAAGAGCCAAACTTCCGACATTCCTGTAAATTTTTCGATTTAATTCAAATCATCTATATTCTGAGCAAGTAAAAAAGTTACCAAATGATACAACAGAATACTCTAAATGAAATTAGTAAAGTAGAAAATCTATAACAATTATTCCGTGGATGATGACAAAAACGCTTCATCGTAATCACTTGAACCAACTACTGAAATAAAATCACTTAAACTGCAAACTATTGAATTGTGAGCAATAAACGTTCAACAACGACTACTGAGTTCCAGATATGGAAATGTTTGTTGAAATAAATTGATGTGATACATGTGTGTAAAATGATCCAGATGTATTCATTGAGGCTCGAGCCACAATGATCATTAGATTACGGTCGTAATTTACAATCAAACTACATTTGCATTCGAAACATAAGTCTTTTCTCGAAATCTGGATAAGTTATAATTAATTTACAAGCTCCGATCAAATCCAAATTGAAATTTCATTGGTATTTGAATTGTTTCCATTTCAAATGTTATTTCAATCTAACCAATATGTTTATTGTACATGAAAAATTCTAATAAATACGGCTGCGAATAGGCAGCGTGAAATGAGCCACACCGAATGCACTCGTTTGGGAACAATTGGAAATCAACTTAAATCCAGCGTCTAATTCTGTTTGAAGTTACAATGTTCTTAAATATTTTATTGTTTTCATTATAAATGTATAAATTTTGGAAATACATTTCTTGATATCTATTCGTGAGACGTAAAAGAACGTATGTTTTTTTCTCGATTTATATTTTTGAAAAGGAAAGTATGTTTTCTGTTGATTCTATCTGCGTTAAAAGAAAGTATGTTGTAGTACCGTCTAGCCTCCGCGGTCCTCACGGTTTTCGCCCAACTGATAAGAGATAACAACATGGTGTCTTCGGCAAAGTTGTAGTACTTGAGGTCTTCAATAACATTGCTGAAGGCAGGTAACTCTTAAAGTTAAGCGGTTAAAGCGAATTGTATGGACCAGTTTCTTTTTATTCATGTGTTCAACTGTTCATTATTCTAGAGATTTGGCAGTTAAGCGTTCTATGTAACACCAATAAAATACATTCGTCAACTCTTGTTACTGCGGGAGTTTATTTATTAATTCGATTTAATCATTATTTAATCTATAATAGTACTTATTTATTTTTTCTTTTATTGTGTTGTTTATGAATTCAAAAACAAATATTTTGTACAAAAATAAAGTAATTCGAGTCGAAATGTCGGAATTCAACGTTGTATCGTTGTAAAATGACCGAATTTATTTGAATAAAATTAGATTTCTTCAAATGTATTGATTTATATAAATTGATTGAAAATGTCAACACATTTTTAAATTTACGTCGCCAACTACTGGCTGAATAAAGTAGTTGAGCCGAAAAAGAACTCCAAGAACTGTTACAATAATATGCAATTATTACTTCGTTAAAAACCAGGCTCTTTTCGTAATTTTGCATCATACTAGTACATAGTAGTAAAAACAAAAATGTGTAAAATACAACTAAGATAGAAATGCTTGGTAAGTCAGATAGTTGAAGGTCCAGAATAACCTTTGGTGAACGTTTCAAAGGCTATATGAAGCGTTAGACGTTTGGTTTAGGACCGAAAAAGTCATCGTTTAGTTCATATCAATAGATAAATTGACGAAAGGTTTTACGTCAGTTTAGGCAGATTCACGATGGTTGTCGAGTGCTTCGAGTTTAACATAAGATCAGTAGTTTGAAACAGTAACAAGTCGTAAGCGAGCATTGCACGTATTCTGCTGTGTTGTTCTTCTTTATGTGTGCGACAGGACGTTGATTCAGTATAGCATAATCGTCAGTATTTTAAAATTAAAATTTGAGTTATGTGCGTTGCGTACGGACGAGTTGAAACTTGGATAGAGCCAGTGATTGGGCAATCAGCTGCGTTGTCCTTGATAATTTTAATCCGAGTCGGGAACCATGGTTCGGATTTGTCGGTAACATGAAATTCCAACAATTTCAAATTAGTGTGGCTAGTATGTTTCCGTAGAAAACATATACAAAATATGACGTTACTTGGATGAAAAAATGACTTAGCGTCCAGGTAGTCACTTGAGTTTGCATAGCGATCCAAAGGTGGTGTCTGCTGTTTTGCGAACTCGAAGAGCACAAGGATTAAACGTGACGACCTTTGTCACGATGCGACGGTTCAGCATCTCACAAGATATATATCCGAATAGGGTAATTCAGCTAGCTGAGACGAAGCAGCGACGTATTACCTGAGTCTGTGTGACATACATACACACAATTCGATGCTGTGCGTCCTTGCATGGCAATAAGTGTTTGAGGATGGCTTGCATGCGTCGCTGCGTCGTCTTAGCCAGTTGAACTATCTCATTCAGTTATCTTTTGCTTGGCAAAAGCGATAATTGCTGCATTTTATCTCGAGATCGTCGCGGAGCTGAAATGAAAAAAAAATCCAGTTCATGTACATTGCATTGGATTGATTTTTGATTTGTTGCGTTCTCTTTACTAATTTTTAAATCGCTATTTAATGATCTTTCAAAATAGATAGCACTTGTTTTATGTTTCGTCACGAGAAACGTCCTTCATATCGATTTTTATACATTTTTCAACTTATTTCGTTTTAATTGTAATAAATCAACGTTTTTTTTAAAAACTATATTTCAACGGTCTAGCGGTTCGATAAAAAATCATGTGTCGGACAGTGTAGTGTACTAAAAATAAAGGAATATTCGAGATAAGTTTTAATCGCATATAGTTTTATTGTCTGTTGTGAAATTTATTGGCAATATTGGATTTCCCAGTAGTATGAAATGAACGATTCAAAATATATAAACTTCATTCGTCGATCAATTCTGTAGATAAACAAACGAAAAGAGGAGAACTATAAGCAACATTGTGAATGTGGTTCAAATGAGTTCAAAATAATATTACGTTAACGAAAGTGTTCATTTGGTTTTAGGAAATCAACAAATTTGTTTTGTATACCAATTTATTTTCTCCGAAAATATCACTCTTATATCATTTTTAAACGTAAATTCCGTGTGTGCACTTGTGAAGAAATCCAGTGTTTTTTTTTTAAATGGAGTCCATTCAACGAAATTTACCGCCAAATCCTCGGGAAAAAGTTAATATTGTGTCGCTGTTGTTATTCACATGGACTGTACCGCTGTTCAGAAAAGGATATGCAAAAGTATTACAATTAGAAGATATTTTCCAACCATTGAAATGTGATAAATCCGATGTGCTGGGTGATCGCTTAGAAGCGTAAGTAATAATTCTTTGGCCTAATAGGAGTGTGACAATATCACAATTTCGGCATAAATCACACTAACTACCATTAGACTAAGGTGGTAAATCTCAATGAATCTTGCAGCAATGCAACTCACATCTGTTTGATTATTATATACCACGTCATTAATGATGACATTTCAATTGAAAAATAATGAAGTGATACACTTGATATTTCCAGTCATTGTCAATGACTATCAAAAGAGAATGAATAAAAATGTCCAAGACTGCAGTTGTACGGTGAATGATACACGTTTTGATAAGAGTTACATTACAAATAATTCGACAAGTGATTTCATGATAAAACCGTGCGACCTAGTAAATGGATGTTCACCTTACTGGATATATCATTTGTTGCAAAGATAAGAGCATCACACGAGAATAAAAGTAAATAAGAAGTAAAATAAACATATCTGAAGCTTTAATATTGAATCTAGTACTTCTACAGTTATTTTCTTAGTGAAAACGGCACTTAAACGGATTAAAGTGTCAAATCTCATACAGTAGTTCTAAAGTATAGAACCAAAAGTGTTTGGTGTGTACTTGTAAATTTATCATCGAACGTTTTTTTTTTTTTCATTTTTCACAACCCTGTGAGATTCTATACATTCAATTCTACTGATCAGTTGAGTAGAAACATTCAACCAATTGAAGAATATGATCGCCGATTAAATGTGTTGACTGTCTTTCGTTTGTTCGTATAGGAATTGGAAGAAACAGTTGGCTAAATCGGCGCGACCGTCTTTGATTAAGACCATTTTGGCTACGTTTTGGAAAGAATATACACTTCTTAGTTTCGTATGCGGATTAAATGATATTTTTTTGCGATTGGGTCAGCCACTGCTACTCGGGAAATTGCTACTTTATTTTTGGTAAGAAAATTCTTTCGAATTTACTGTTTGTCAATGAAAATTGTCTAAATAATATGTTTGTTTTTGTTTTATAGCAAAGATTCGACGATAAAATACGAAGATGCTCTCTTGTATGCAAGCGGAATTCTAATCTTAAACGCTATTAACACCATTTTATTCAATCAGTTCTTCTTAATTAGTTCTCATAATGGAATGAAAACACGGGTAGCTGTGTGCTCGCTAATTTATCGAAAAGTGAGTTCATTTTCCTTTATTAAATATTTCATTGTGATAGAACATTATATTTGTTTTTAAAACTAAATTTCGAGATTCATAGCGAAATTCAAAATATCCAACTCCATCACAAATTAGGCATTACGGCTTTCACAGACTGCACTAGGTGAAACTGCTCCCGGAAAAGTAGTGAACTTACTATCGAATGATGTGAATCGATTCGATTGGGTTACAATGTTTCTGAACAGTATGTGGACGGCACCGTTACTTACGCTAATCGTCGGAGCATTGTTATGGGCTGAGATCGGTGTAGCCGGATTGATAGGAATTTTGATCGTGTTCATTGTAGTACCGATTCAAAGTGAGTACCTGTGTGAAATATTTCGAATTTGAAGTTTATGAATGAGAATTTGGCTTTTTTTCAGGCTACACGGGTAAATTATCATCAAAATACCGTTTGCAAACAGCCCTCCGAACAGATGAACGTGTCCGATTTATGGACGAAATTTTACGCGGCATTCAAGTGATAAAGATGTATGGGTGGGAATATTCTTTCTCCAAATTGATCACTTATGCTCGCAAAATGGAGCTGAAAATTATTCAAAGAAGTTCACACATTCGGGCTTTATACATGACGTTCATTCTTTTCACGACCAGAATGGCCATATTCTGTACAATGTTATCCATCGCATTAATCGATGGACCAGATCAAATTACCGCTGCCAAAGTGTTCTTTATTTCGTCCTACTTTGCAATTATCGCCCAAGCGATGTCGCAGATGTTCGTTCGCGGAGTTGCTGAAATTGCTGAAATGCACGTCGCCTTGAAGCGATTACAAAACTTCTTAGATTTAGATGAGAAGAAGACTGAAAGCATTTGCGCGCCGAAAAATGGGCACAACGGATTGAGTGGAGCGAAAACAGAGCACAACGGATTGAATGGAGTGAAAAATGATGTAAATAAATGCATTGCAATATTTTCAAACATAAGTTGATAAACGATTTATTTCTTCACAGGTGGAAAAAGTAAGATCAGAACTTATAACACCATCAAATAATGTGTCGGTATCGATTAAAAATGGTACTGCTTGTTGGACAATGCCAGCCAAACCGAATGGAATTGCACCACGTGGCAATGATTTAGTCGAATGTAAAGTGCCCACCCTCATCAATATAAACGTTGATTTTCCACGAAGAAAACTGATTGGCATAATTGGGTGCGTTGGAGCCGGTAAGAGTTCATTTTTACAGGCAATTCTACGAGAATTACCTTTGGAAGCGGGCTCAATGCGTATAAATGGTTCAATTTCATATGCAAGCCAGGAGCCATGGGTATTTGCTGGATCGGTTAGACAGAATATTTTGTTTGGTGAGGACTATGACCGTGATCGATACGATGATGTCATTAGAACATGCGCTCTGGCCAAAGATTTCGAGCAACTTGAAAATGGAGATCGAACAATTGTTGGAGATCGAGGAGCAAGTCTTAGTGGCGGTCAAAAAGCTCGTTTGAAGTAAAAATAATAACCCGTTGAATCGTTTGATTCAAGATTAATAATTTATTGACTGATTACAGTTTGGCTCGCTCTTGCTACCGCAAAGCCGATATTTATTTGATGGATGATCCTCTAAGCGCCGTTGATGCTCATGTCGGTACCTATATTTTCAACGAATGTATCGGTCCAAAAAGTCGACTGGCAAAGCTAAACGCAACACGTATTTTGGTCACACATCAAGTGCATTTCCTGAAAGAAGCCGATTGGCTAGTTATTCTTAAGGATGTAAGATCTCTTTGCGAAGGGCAGATTTACTTACAACATAAGATACACTATTTTCCATCTCAACATAAAAGATAATTATTTTAAATTAAACAGGGACAAATTGAAGTTCAAGGATCACCAGCCGACGTGGTAAAGAGTGGTGTCGATTTTGCCAAACTTGTCGGAACAGATGGAATAAATAATAATGAAAAAAATCCGGTGAGGCACGGATGGCGATTGTCTGGCGAATTATCAGCAAGTTCAACATCAATAAGTACAGAGTTTGACGACGATGAAGAAGATGAAGGAAGAACTGAAGGTGTCGCAATGGAAGCTAGTTCAAAAGGCAAAGTCGACGGATCGATTTCATTGAATTACTTTAGAGCCGGTGCACATTGGTCTGTTTTGATTGTGGTGGGTGTTTTATTTTTGATTGTTCAACTGTTGGCTAGTGCAGCAGATTATTGGGTTTCAATATGGTAAGTAGTAGACACTCAATTCGATAAAACTTGCAAACACCTTACACACAATATATTTGATTTTACAGGACCAAACAAGAGGAAATGCGTCGGGATCAAGGTTCGACAGCGATGAATGATTCAAAAATATTCGAAACCATAAATGAACCAACTCAGTCATACGCATCGTTCACTCTGAGTACCGACTTTTGTATATCCGTGCATGGTGCAATATTGGCGTCTCTATTTATTGTTGGTATTGCAAGGTAAAATTGCATTGAATTAATTCGAATGTTTCCATTCTTATGCTAACGTTTTGCCTTAGATCGGTCGGATTCTTTTCGATTTGTATACGAGCCTCTCAGAGACTTCACGACACTATGTTCAACGGTCTAATTTCAACTAAAATGCGATTCTTTGATACAAATCCACTGGGTAGAATTCTCAATCGATTTTCCAAAGATATTGGGTGAGTTATCGAAGCTCATAAGTTTTCAGTATTTTGAAAATAATTCCACATTTGTTTGCAGTGCAACTGATGATTTCTTCCCGAAAGCAATGCTCGATGCCACACAAGTCATTCTGAGCATAATTGGGACGATTTTTGTAGCCGCGACTGTCAATGCATACTTTTTGATTCCAGTAATTGTAATGGGTTTGATTTTTATCTTTGTTCGCAAAGTATACTTGAAGACATCACAGAATATAAAAAGACTGGAAGGAATTGGTAAATACAGTTGACAATTTATTTGGAATCTAGTGATAAATTTAAATGTACTTTATTTTTTTTTAGCAAAATCACCTGTGTTCACACACTTAGCGGCCACCCTAACAGGCCTCTCAACTGTCCGAGCTTATAATGCTGAAAAAATTCTGGAAACTGAATTCGATTATCACCAAGAGTATGTTTATTGTCATTCCTTCGATTCTATAACAAAATTGACGTAATTTCTTGTTTATTTATATAGCACACATTCAGCCTGTTGGTATATGTTTATCGCTACAAGCTCCGCGTTTGGTCTCAGCTTGGATATCATGTGTTGGATTTTCATAACATTTATTATTTTGTACTATATGCTGGTTGACTCAAGTGTTTCGGACGAGAAAGTGGGATTAGCCATAACACAAGCAATGTCATTAACGGGAATGCTACAGTGGGGTAATTCAAGTGAAAAATTGATGGAAAAATAGCTGTGTCTTGAATACATTATTGGATCTTTTAAGGAATTCGTCAAAGTGCCGAGACTAGCAATCAACTGATGTCTGTTGAGCGTGTCCTCGAATATCGAGATTTGGAGCCAGAGAAACAGCCTAAGGAACCGCATAAAGTCATTGATGAGTGGCCATCGAGAGGATGCATTGAATTTAGAAATGTTGTCTACAAATACTTTGCTGAAGCTGAACCAGTCTTACGGGGTCTGTCATTTGTAATTAAACCGAGAGAGAAAATCGGAATCGTTGGTCGAACGGGTGCGGGCAAAAGCTCATTGATAGGCGCTATTTTCCGTTTGGCTTGCATCGAGGGAGAGGTGATCATTGATGACATCGATACTGCTACACTTCAACTGAAGGATTTGCGTAAACGCATCGCAATCATTCCTCAAGATCCAATTTTGTTCTCCGGTACCTTAAGACGGTATTGGCTTCGTTTTTTTTAGTTTTATTGAAATTTTGTTCAAAGAAAAGTAACCTTTATCATTTTTAGAAACTTGGATCCATTCGAGGAGTATCCAGACGATGATATTTGGAATGCTCTGGAGAAGGTGGAATTGAAATATATCGCATCAGGCCCATTGGGCTTGCACTCGGCAGTAATGTCACACGGTTCGAATTATTCAGTTGGTCAACGGCAACTTCTCTGTTTGGTTCGCGCCATTTTGCGTAAAAATCGTATTCTTGTTTTGGATGAAGCTACAGCCAACGTTGATCCACAGTAAGTGAATGAAACGCTCTCTTTCTCTTTCTCTTTCTGAGATATTCAAAATACTAATCTAAGTTCATAATTGATAGAACGGATCTATTAATTCAACAATCAATTCGCGAGAAGTTTGCCGAATGCACGGTATTAACCGTTGCTCATCGATTGCACACAATTATCGACTCCGATAGAGTATTAGTTATGGACACCGGTCGAGCGGCTGAATTTGATGAGCCATATAACTTATTACAAAAACAATTCGGTATATTCTACGGCATGGTTAAAGCGCTCGGGCCACAAGAGTTTAACCGTTTGTCACAAGTGGCATGTGATAAATTTTATACCGTTCATGATTTAGAAGGAAGTCGCCTCTGAAAATCGCATCAACTTCCTTAAGAAACATTATCAAAAAAAAAATCGTAAATAGAACTGTAATAATACAAAGACATTTTATATTATACTAGCTTAGCGCGGCGTGCTTTGCTACGCTTTTTTCATTTTGTTTTTCATTTCAAAATACATCAATTTTGTGACATTAATAGGTGTGACAAAAATGTCTTAAAAATAAAATTGTGACATTTTGAATTGTTGTTTTATTTGGACAATTCATTTACAGGTGTCACAAAAATATCCCAAAAGTATTCCTATGGTATCTCCGTCTCAAGACTTTTCCAATGATGTACGGGATGCTTAGATCGGATCACCCGTTAAGAATGTCCCAAAGATATCTTACCATTAGTATATTGGGTGATTTTTTCGACTAGTAAATGTGGCATAATTTGATTTAATCCAAGTGAATTCGTTTAAAAATTAAAAAATCACCGGATGCTGCTATGACTTTTGGGCAATTTTTCTCGGCTAATATTCGATAAATGTTCGTCAGTTGTGATTTCAATGTTTTCTGATACTGCATTGCATCGTTGTAAAAATGAACTGCAAAGAATCCTCCACTTGGTTTCAAAAAAATCTTTCCAATCCGCTTAATAAATCGGATAAAAAGCGGGCGGATTATAAATTTTTAAGCCCCAACATAGTTCTGGTTTCAAATTGGTGAAAACTTTCGTTCGAAATACATGCTGCAGAACATTCGTAATCAAAGCCGGTCCATTTGTCGTGTAATGTTCTGTGAAATTTCTGTTTGAAAAAATTGGCATAATTCAATATCATTATTGAAAAAAAAGCAAAATTTTCGAATCAACAAACCTCAAAATCAATTCAACAATTTTATGACCAACATCTCTCGATTCAAAGTCAAAAACTGCACCTTGTACTTTGTTATCGTCTTGCGCGCCGATAAAGTTGGGTGGAAAATTTTCAAATGTCAATTCAACGATAAAATCCAAGTCTATATGAATTCCACCGAATTTGTAGACAGAGAAAATTCGTAGAAATATGATCCTTGAAATGTTCTGTCATGAGCATTTTATCGTTTTTTACCCATGCTTCAGCTGGTGTATCAATGGCATATTTATACCAATCCACATTGCGATACTTGATGTTCGAGTATGACGATAATGCTTTCAATATTGGTGATTTGACCATTGATCCATTTGCAGGCAAGCCTATAGGCGCAGTGAACTACACAAAAATGTCCCGATTTGGATTCCACTTTGCAGCCGATTCGATGGCACAAGCTTGCCTATAGAAAAACAATAATTAAAATGAAATTGCTACGGAGGTTAGTTAAGCCAATATTTCGTGTGGAAGTTCCGAGGAAAATTTGAACAAACTAACAATCGATTACCTCGAAGTAAATGATACGATACCGCTTTTACACGATGTATCCTCGAAAAATATCGTTCGATCAAGTTTCGGTGGTGATGCCATTATATCGTCAAGAAGCCTCACTTCTTTGCCCATTTTCTTCACACTTTTTCACTACTTCAATTTGCTTCAATTCACGTTTGGTGTACGGATTCTTTGCGAGTAAAAGCAAGAATAAACAGAGTGAAATCGCAAGCAATAAGCTAACATAAAAGCTACGTGCACGCGATGGCTGAGCTATATCCATTTTGATCAATTCCCAACATAATTCAATTTCAACTGAATGGGTGTCAGCTTGGTGAAGTTATATAGCCAAGTTCTAAATTTAATCAAATATCTTATGCGGCTTAGTTTCAATTAATTTTTGCAAGATTTTCAAATGGGCTTCACACCATGAAAGTACTGTAAATACTTGTATATTTATACACGCAAAAAATCTGGCGAGAACAGGTGTTTATGTCAAATTAACATGATTCAATTCTATTGAGATTCCAGTGATCAATTTATTCGAAATGAATGTTTGCAAAAAATAATTCATTTGGATGTTTCAAAGATTATTGCAGATAATGTGTCAATAAGATAATTATAACACTTGTGAAAATATCAACGAAACATTGTTCGTCTTACGCACTGAGTATGTTCAGTTGCCCACAAACACAAGTATGATGCGACCGTTGCTCGAAAACTCAGTGCGTTTCAGTCATCTCTGAGTTAATAGTCAAACCAAATTATTTGCTTAGCTAATTTTTTGAAAATCACAAGTGTTTGCTTTTCAACTGAGAAGAAAAAAAAATGCAAGATTCGTAGAACAAATGCAAAGAAATTTAAAAAGGACAGTGGCATTATTTATCTAGACTTAAATATTAAAATAGTACATATAATTTAATGTTCACCCATAAAAATATGTAGACCAGGTTTTTAGCCGTATTTTGACGAACTTAGACCATGGTCTAGACCAAATTCATATATTTCATTCCTAAAGCTATTCCAGCTTTGACATTTCAGACCATGTAGACCATGTAGTTTACAGCCATTTTGTACCTAAAAATGGTCTAGGTTCGGATGTATATCATTTCAAATTCGGCTGTAGACATGCTATACATTTTTTCATGGATGAATGTTCGTCATTAGTTGGAATACGTGAAAAAAATCGGTATCAAACCATTAACTCTGTCCCGTTGGTCATTGAACTATTTTCGATATTAAAATCACGCCAATATCCCATGGTGCACATGCCTGGCTCTCGCCACCAATCATTTATGTCTTCATACCAACGAGTTTTCGACATGGTATGATCGTCATGTAACATAGCGCACATTCGGCACCAAAATCTGGCCCATGTGCCAAGAAACTCACCAGTTCCCTTCCATTTAAAATACGAATTATACAAATCATCATTTTTATCCAGAATGTGCAAGTATTCGGCCAATTCTTTTGGTGACTTAAAATGATCGACATGAATGTAAGATCGAAGCGGTGCGTATTTTTCATAATCATCAGGCGTGGCCCCCATCACAATGGGTATGACATCATGCCCAAGTCCCGTGGTAAAGAATTTTTCAGTGATATAATTTTTGCAGTTTGCATTTTCAAATGCCAAATAAAATTTATAGTCATCGTCAAGGATTTGATAGCATTTCTCCTCATCCGATCGTGGACATTCCATATCTCCGCATGTGCCAAAGATGTCGACCTATTCATTTGAAAATTAATCTATAATTTAATTCACATTCACTTGAAACAAAACATATACAAGCTTCACATCACACCTGAATGTACTTTTTAAGCTCTCTGACATAGCTCAAGCGATCATTTTTGGCCCAACAATTCGAAACAAACCATGCAACTTTTTTTGTCTTATTCGCAGCAT